CAACTTTTCTGAGATTGTCAATTGTTTCGCAGCCAATTCAACTGTTTAGTTGCACAACTAAAAGTGGAGTGATGTGCGCACCTTCCTTTGTTTACGTTTGTTAAGGTAGCGCTTGACAACGATCTCATCTGAAGAAAGTAATGATGCAGTTGAAAGATGGTACGGGTTAGCTTAATAAGTAGCTGTTTACTCTATAGGTTTTAAAGAGCGACTAAACAGTTGTGCGATATTTTAGTCAATAGTACGCTATAATACGATTTACAATTTCATTGTTTTTAATTATGTTCTGTAGATGATTAATTGACATTGACTTCTAGCTGTGTCAACAACAGATTACAAAGTCCAAAGGATGATACAATATTAGTTATAATCAAAGTTCAGTTAATACGTGGGTGTTACACACGGATAGATACTAACATGTGGGATATGTGAGTGCGAGTTTCCGAACGAAGATGTAAGAGTGAATGATTGATTTGGACTGACGTATGGAGAGTACAGTGTGAATGCAGGAAGAAGTGCAAGTAAGACGTGTAATAAGACGGAAAAAAACAATAGTGAAGAATTTTTATCTTGTAAAAAGTAGGGAAGGGTGAAAAATAAAGCTTTAAACGAAGACGGCTGTTTGTTTTACCGCCCCAACCCTACAATTTTGGGGGCTCGTCCGCAGCGAAAAGAAGATCAAACTGGATTTCATACTGTGTGTGACTGTGCGAGGCGGCGTGGTTACATTTAAAAGACGAATACAAATCATTGAAGATGACAGCAAACGACGGCATCTCCGATGGCAGCAGTCAGCAAAGGTACGCTGATTTTTATCAAAATAATTTACACATGACGGCCGAATTAGTACCTAAATTTAGCGGCCAAGACAGTACCTATCCAGTAAGTAAATGGATACAAGATATTGAGGATACTGGAGAAATATTCAAGTGGGCACCTTTACAACAATTACTGGTGGCGAGGCGATCACTCATTGGTACGGCAGAATTATGGTTAAAATCCGAAAGGCCATTCATGTCCTGGGAAGAGTTAAAAAGTGAAATAAGTAAGGAATTCCCTTCTACATTAGACGCAAAGGCAGTACATGAGGTTATGAGTGCTAGAAAGAAAAAACGGAATGAAAGTTGTCTCGATTATTTACTCATAATGAAGGAAATGGGCAAGCGTGGTAAATTAGCTGATTACATCACTATTAAATATATTATAGATGGCATTATTGATCATGAAAGTAATAAAATTATGCTGTACGGTATTAAGACTTACAGTGAATTAAAAGAGAAACTAAAAATTTATGAAATGGTAAAATCAAAAACATTGGAAAGACCGCAATACGAACAAAGAAATAATTATCAACATGGTGAGCAAAGAACATATTCTAAGAAAAATGTACGTTGCTATAACTGTGGTGATTTGGGTCATTCATCATACGGTTGTCCAAATAAAGGAAAAGGCATTAAATGTTTTAAGTGCAATGATTTTGGTCATATTTCGACAGCATGCAACAAGAAATCGAGCAACGGCACGCAATTTGAAATTAAAGATGGAGGACATCGCAAATACGTCAATAGGTTTGATAACCGAATAAGTGAACCGAAAAAGAGTGAACTACAAGCTGATACGTCACAACGAACGATGTTCGGATCGTTGGATACAACTGCTAACTTCACATCAAATGGCGGCGGAAATGAGCAATCTATGATCTGTCAAAATGAGGAACAACTTATGTCAAATGTCAATGTCATCAAAGAGGTTATGAAAATTGTAAACAAGGATGATAAATTGAAGAATATACAGTGTAAACCAGTGAAAAAGGTAATAATAAATAAAACTGAAGTTAACGCATTAATTGACTCAGGCAGTGACGTAAATTTAATTAGTGAGAACTATTTTTCTTTATTATTAATAATTAGTATTTTTTTTATTATTAAATTGTTATTAAATTACAATATATGGATAAGAAAAAACTTCATACTTGAATATACGAGTATGTGTTGAAAATTATAATAAACAACATGTAGTTACAAAGAAGTGTTTAATTTATAACACGGCTAAACTCACGTGGGAACTTTCGGTGTAGGCCGGTGCCGACGGGTCTGAAATTGGTCAGTACCAGTTTCAGACCCGTCTTGGGTCCTTCTTCTTCAGTGGTTCCTACACCGAAAGTTCCCACGTGAGTTTAGCCGTGTTATACATTATATAGTATTAGTATATATAATGTCTCATGACAGTTTTAGTAAGTTAATAAATTAAAAATGTTTGAATATTAAAGTTATTACAAGTATTAACGCCTAAGTTACCTTGACACGGTCAATATTCTCGGTCTAATAAACATTATTAGATGTTTTAAGAGCATGGTCAATTTAACTAGTAGGGTACGGTAATGTACGGTCATCCGATCACGTGGTTGAATCGACAATTTTAAATAAATCTATAACTAATGTAATAAAGCGTAAACACACACTTCTTGTTGCCTAAGATGTTAGCAATTACAGCATATTTTTGAACAACTCTTTTTTTAATAAAACGCCCTACACTTACGTCACGCTTTAGGCTATATATTTTCACGCCATTAAACTTAGGGGGTAAATATTTTGGATAAAAACCCTAATGTGGGAAAGAGACCATAAGTTGCTGCCAACATCAAGGAAGCAAGGTTGCCATGCTTTGTCATCATGTCATGTCATTTTGACATTTGCAATTGACAATTTGACACATGTAAACAATAAAATAAAATTTTCATAATTTTATGCGGATGAAGTCGCACGGGAACAGCTATTACTATATAAATTACTAAATAAATATGACTTTTCTTGCCACAAAAACAAACTACAAATAAAATCGTAAGTCAACCTTAAAGCTAGTAAAAAAATGTGGCAAAAGGTGGCAAGCTCAGCTAAAGAAAAGACGGCGCTTGCCGTTTCTTCGCTGGTTTTCAGCTGGCCCCTTTACACACAT